ACAGCAGCCGGCCGCTAGAATTCTCCCGCAGGCAGCAACTGAATTGGACCATGCTAAGTAGCTAATGTCAAAAATCCTGCCACCATCGGGACTCGAACCCATGGACCTCCCGGTCAGAGACACTGGATTGACATCAATTGATGCCCCTGAGCCTCCTAAGCCGGTCTCCATAACAATGACGTGCAGAAGTTCGCTGGTAGGCGGCGGGAGAGGCGAGGGGCGACACGACAGAGAAGAAGAAAAAGCGGAGAAGAAGCAAAGAAACGAGAGCGACTCATCTTCTCTGAAGCGCCGCGTCGGCCGCGTTGGGGCATCCCCAGGTTGCCCCGCCCCCGCGATGTGCCGACCCCAGCTGTCCCTTGCGGGAGGAGAGGCGCTGGTGCGGGGACAACCGAGATCGTTCGCCGGTTTGGCGAAGCACGAGTGCGTTGGCACGGCGGGAATTTTGTGGGCGACACGTGCGTGCATCCGGGCTATCCGCGAGTTCTTGGCAGACGACTTTGAGGTTTTGCGTCTCGTTTTTTGGAAGAAAGGTTTTATTGTGCAGGAAACTATGATAGTACACTATTATTGTCTTGTATGTCATATTTTAATCAATGCAGTCCTTGCTAACCTGATACACCTGTCCTAGTGAACGTGTGGTGCAAAGAATATCTGGTAGAGACTCCGAGTTTAATTGCTATATTGTTTTATGAGTAGTTATTTTTAATAAAGTGGCTGCTATAGATTTTTAAGTACTCAGTTCTCACTGGAATTTCTTTAATAGTTATGTGCTAACTGAACAATGCTCTATTTTTTAAGAAAGAAATTGTCGGGAAGAGAAAAATCTCAGAGACATTTAGAATATTTAATTAAAGTGAATTTAGTAGGGAATGTAAATATACTTCTAAATGCATTTTGGCAAAAAACGTCCTAACTTGGTTCTTCAAAATACTTTTAGTAATTTTGATGTCATGAGAGGAAGGTCATTGATTTTCAAGGAATGTGGTGGAAGGAATATTGCAAGAAATTATTTTTTAGTAAACAAGGCGATAAACATTAAATCATATCGTGAGCTCAGAAAATACATTACGATCCGAAGGACGGACACATCACCTAATTAAGCTGGCGAATCAGATTCATAGCTGACGAAAAAACAACTATCTTCAACCTAAAAGTGCATATATATTTTATAATTTTTAATAATTTTTTTCACTTCTTGACATGTTTTTACCACTCGTACAAAAGTATCGGAAAGTAATGAAAATACCGCTAAATCCAGAAGGTATTTCAGTGTTTGATTTTATGAGATGTCTCTGATTTTCTCTCACTTTACGACATTACATCTGTACAACGACGTGTCGGTGATATCCTATGTATTTAGGGCTGCATCATTTTCAGACAATGTGTAATGTGCACTTATGAAATATATTCTGATGATAGGATTTTGCAGACATATATATTAATTTCTGTCCCTTCAGAGAAGAACAAAGTAAAGCTGTGTAAAGGTAATGGAATCTCTCCTCTGAATTTACCATCTCGGTTCTCAAACAGCTAAATCAAGTTCATAAATGGAACACGTTTGTAATACCCTGCATAATGCGTGGATCAAAAAAATTGACATTTTCAGAAAGTTGGTTTAGGTATTTTGAGCAAAACATTTCTATGCGGACAATTTGTGACACTTCGCTCACACATAGAAAATGCTATGCGATGGAGTATCGGGGTTCAATGCCATTGAACGCTTTGTTTCGGAATTTTATTACTATATAGCTGTCAACGCTGCCCAAGTGATGAGGGTTGCATTTGTCATGAATATATTCGTGCGTTTCTTTCTCTCTCTTTCTTTCTCTTTCTTTCTCTTTCTTTCGTTCTTTCTTTCGTTCTTTCTTTCGTTCTTTCTTTCGTTCTTTCTTTCTTTCTCTTTCTTCATATCCTTCATATTTTTAAAGTTGAAGGGCAATTCGCCAAAAGTCTCCGTGAAATTCTGCTTGTTTACAGATCTCATTTATAAAGATTGTTGGCTTGGCTTGTAAGGGCCGTAAATTCATCTACACCACTGAATAATATAGAAGAGGATTACCGCTAGAACAATTACAAAGAAAAAATAATCGTGGCCGGCGGCGACAGGCACGGCGGTAATGGCTGGGAGTCGGCGGCGGCGGCAACGACGGAGGAGTCGGGAACGGCAGCGGCTGGCAACATGTCGGGTGACTCACGTGGCCAAATGGCTTCCCAGAACGACCTGCTGCCCGGAAGGCGCCGCTGCGCCGACCGCAGCGGACGGGGCCTGCGCCGTCAGAGGAAAGGTGCACACGGCCTGCGCGCGAGGCCCCGGGCGAATGACGCGCCCCGAGTGACCCCGATCCTCCGCGGGGCATGTATGCACGCAGCGCCCAGGCCGCGCTGCTCAGAGAACAAAACGAGATGGAGCTGATTTCAAACAATTCACCACCAACATGGAAATCGTTGTAGGAATGGAGATGTAAAAAATCTTTATAGAAGTGGAGATGTAAATAAATGATTGGAGAGTAAAATAGTGTAACAGTGGTTAAATAAACAGTTATGAAATGAAGAGGTTGATAGAATTTTAGTAATATACAGTAGTTGTTCTTGCTGTAGGATTCCAGTGTTAAAAACGCTCAACAGTACTGGCGAAATTGGAAGCGCCCTCTCATCACTTTTCCAGTCTTGCACTGCAATGGAATGATGAGTGCTTGTAATAAAAATAAAAATTAATAATTAACAAATAATTATATATATTACATAAATCATTACATATTGTAATTCTTCTTCTTCTTCTTCTTCTTCTTCTTATTATTATTATTATTATTATTATTATGATGATGATGATGATGATGATGATTAGTCACAATGCATCTCGTTAAGGACAAAGGCCTCCTGCTTGTAAAAAACGTTCAAATTCAAAAGAAAAAGAGTTTCAAGGAATCAATTGCACCAGTTCTTTTAACCACTACACTGTAACCGGTCTGTAAATAGTGCATATACACCTCTTCTTCGTTCTTCTGTCTTGTTTTCGTCTACACATCTTAGTCAGTAGTCTTCTGTTCCCCATGTCATTCAGCTTCCATTTTCCTCCATATAGTTATATCTTCTGCTAGTATTGTCCAACTGTTGTTTGTTATTTTTTGCAGGTCATCCGTCCATCATCTTTGTCTTCCCAATTTGCTCCATCCAGTTCTGGGGTCCCAGGTTGTCTAGGTGTATGTCCATCTCTGTTGATCTTGTCACATAATATGACCACACAATCTGCACTTGATGATATTAATAACAATAATATATTATTATTATTTTCCAATCCAAGGAAAAAGACAATTATTTGGATTTGTTTGGAAAATATATCGAAGACGTAGAATAAAACTTCGTACCTCAGACAAAAACGTTTACAGGATGTGGTAAGAACATTGAAACTTTCGTGTATCCTTTTTTTCTCTACGCCACTCCGTAAGTCTGTTAATGTCCTATTTGCAGATATAACTGTTGGGAGATGACTTATTCTACCTAATAAATATATTATTTTTTTACGTAGTCTTTTTTTTAATCTGACGATATTTCAGATTTTCCACAAAAAAGACAAACCCGGAGCTCGCTCAGGGCTCGTGTGTTTTATAATATGTTGTTATTTGTGATGAACCCTGTTTTGGAGCAATCATTTCATTGTGATTTTTCATGTTCAGAAATATCCACAAATCTAAATTGTGTCCCGCTGTTTCACCTCAATGTAGGGGAACAGCATAATGTTTTCTCTCATTAAGATAAAATCACTGTCATTAAGAAGAAACGCCAGCTTTTGAGAAAATAACACATTCCCGCTGGTAAAGTGGTGAAGCTCTTGTTTATATTCAATTGTAAGAATTCATATTTCTGGACAATTAACTTTTTCGTCGTGACATCCCCCAAGCTATCGCTTTATAAGTTCAGTTTCTTATATAAGATAGTGCGAAGTGGGACTGGGTCGGGTCCCCAATTTGAAACCGGCTTCGCTCGTCAACCGGGTCGACGTAACGTAACCAGATGTTAGGGTTAGATTGGCTGCCATTCTCAGGAATCGAGTAATATCTTTTTTAATATACAATCTAAATATTAAGTATTTATCAGTATACGGGTAATGTATATTCCAAGCCAGCAAACTCACGCAGAAATATTCTTTCGTCAAAAACCGCAGAACGCTCGAAACGAGTTTTGATATTATTGGTGTTAAGGACACTGGGATTGCTTCTAAATATTTTCGAATATATACTTCTACATATCGAAAATATACTATGTTTGAACAGGGTGATCGTTCAGACGATCTTCTCTGAAGCAGAAAAAGGAAAAGGAAAGGGAATCGGGAACATATCGCAAATGTCCAAGAGTAAATGTTACCGACATGACTCCGTGATACACTTCCATAAAATTAGGCTGTTTAAGTTACCAAATATATAATTAATGTATCTAGTACAATTTGAGTATTGTTTAAGAACGTTGTGCTTTGTACAAATGTTGCAAAATGATTTCCCTTCTGATAACAACCCAACGTTACGATCCATTGTGCTCATAAGTGGTCTGACGATAATGTATTTTAGTTTCTTCTCCTGAAGAAAAAAATATTCCAAGTCCCAATGGAAGATATAAACATTGTATGCGGAGAATCAGATGGTTACAAAATAAAGGAAGGCAGAAAACAGAGTGCAATGCAGAACGACCCAACATAGAGCTTCCAATATGCGAATCATCTCATGCTACTGCCGCTGCTGATACTGATGGAGATGGAAATCAACCTTATCCCATTGGCAGAGGCCTGTCGGTTATTCCAGATCCATTGAAGGAGGGAGGCAAGAAATCGTCTTTGAAACGCAAGCGATGAGAACTCGACGGAAATTATGTCCAGAGCCACAGCACCGTATTGTTCAATCAATGATATCATCCTCCACATGCGCGGCATGTGCCTACTAAACCGGCAGCCCAAGGCCCCTGGGCCTTCCCTCCCCTCCCCCCCCCCTCCCACCAACGATCACCAC